GTTGTAGCTAGCAACCTAGGACCACTCTGTGGATAAAACAAACCCTATGCTAAGAATCTTCACATTTTATTTGACCCACAATATTGAATTTGATAAACAGATAAATGCTGTTGTTAAATCTTCTTTTAAGGTCAAGCATATGTTTTCTTTTAGACATTTGAGGCTTTTATTACTTCTCACTGGATTATTGCAGCATACTAACCCACAGAGTCAGGCAGACTACTCACACTACTGTCACGCCCTCAGCAGGTGCAAAATGCGACCGAACGTCTGCTAACAAAATAAAAGAAATTGTGCCATATTACTCCAATTTTAACATCATTGCACTGGTTGCCAGTGTAATTTAGAGTTGCCTCCCCCTAGTGTGGATATCGGGCATCGCATATTGGACATTTTTGGTAAGGGCCATGAGGCAGCAGCATTTTATTCCGTGTTACTTCGTAACTCTCAAGACGATCTGCCAGCCCTTAGATCAACATGGGAAGCCGACCTTAATATTGGCCTCTCAGAAGAGAACTGGGGGTCAATTCTTAAAAATTCAAAGAAGGTGTCGAGAGAACTAAAAACAAGGCTCATTCAATTCAAGATATTACATAGAGTTTACTGGACCCTACTCTTTACCTTCGCCTTCTCTTTGGTACCTCCATTTGGGAAAGCTGGCTGCACTGGAATGTCTGTCATTCAGATTAATTGATAGGGTGGGATTTTACCATCAGAAGTGGGGTCGCTACCACTAGCTACCACTATTTGGACGGGAATTGATTAGTTTGTCATAAGGGTTGTGCAGTTGGGCTGGGCTGACACTGTAGAATGTTTCCTCTTCATGTGCTGCGGCTAACTATATACGTTTGACACTCTTTTGTTATGATGTGAAATGTTTTTTTATTTATTTATATATATATATATTTGTTTTTTGTTGTTGTGCGCACAAAGTGTATTTTAGTGCGTTTTAAGGATTATCATTTTACTTTTTTCTCTTCAACAACCAGTTTGTAGTTGCACTGACAGGTTATTCCCTTTTGCTTTTTATCCTAATTAGTTATGTATATTTTTGTTGCCCACCGCTATGACCAGGTTATATGTCAGTTGTTTTGTGTATGTGTGTATTGCAAAGTTCTGGAAAAGTCTAATAAAGTGTGAATCAAAAAAAAACCAAACACATTAGGTTTTTGCTTATGAAACAACAAGTTTCCTACTTTCACATTAGAAGTTGTCTAGAAAGACGTGCCGCTGGTCCTACAAAGTAGAGGATTTAAAAACATGAATCTCTATGTAAAGCTGAAAGTCTACCTGAGGTTTCACAGTGACATTAAATTTAAGTGAGCATAAAGCGAGTGAATGACAAGTCCACCTAGACCTGTCCCTGAGGGAGAGGAAAAACAGTAAACATCAGCCCTTTTTGGTTCAGTAGCACTAATGTTTTCTTTGAATTTCGAATTCAAGTCATTTTTTGACTATAGAGGAGGTATATACATAAATAAATAAAGAGTTAGAAATTAAAAGGTTTACAAACATTATTGATATAAACCAACTTTACTTTAAGTGGCTGTAATCAATACATTTATATTAACAATGGATCCAATTACTACTCTCACTGTGGTGATGAACAGAATCGTCACCTGACTTTGCAGGTTTATGGAGCATTTCAGCCTCTTTCAGCTTATTGTTGTGGTCTCTGATAGACCCACTTCACGCTATCTGCTCAGCACCAAACAGCAAGAGACACAAAGTTAGCAACTAGCTGGGGAACACAGTGGAGCATTTAGAGACAGATATTTCCCTCATGAGTTGGTTGAGACCAAAAACAGAGCTAAAAGGAGAGTGAGTATCTTGACTTGGATTCATCAGGTGGACACAAGCACGGCTCCAAATGAATGCTAACGATGCTCTGTGTCTACTGGCTGTGTAAAAAAAGCAACACTTTGCTAAAACCTTAACCTTATCAACTTTATAAGGTGATAATACTGTTTTGTGTTGTACTCACACAATCATTTAATGCAGGTTTAATAACATCAGAAAACGTTATTAACAGATGTGTTGTCTAGAATTATTCCTTGTCTTAAAAGACCCATTCTAGTGTTGCATTTTGATTTTCATTTGTGGGGTTTTGTTTACATTTTGGTCAATGGTTGTAGCTTTAAAGTTGCTGTTTTGCATACTCCACCATGGCTGACCAGTTAATTAACCTTATTTTATGAACAAAGCCAATGTTGAAAACATCTCTACATGTCTTGCCAAAAGACAATTACAATACATTTGAATATAAATTGCAAAACCACTGAACAATGTCTCAGTAAAATCATGATACAATTAGAATTTTTTTTAAAAAGCTGTAGAAATTCCCTGCTGTTCTGTCCCTAGACTGTAGGATGACTTGAGGCCCTCTTGAGGACTCAACTAGCTGGATGACACTCCCTTCCTGTGGAGTTGAGGCCATCAGTGTTAATAAAGAATAATCACAAAAGCAGAATAGGAATGAACAGAGTTAAATTTAGCCCCCAGATGGGGACATTAGCAGTAAAAAAACAAACAAGACATCCTCTCACCAGACAATAAGATGTACTGACATTGTTATGCTCTGCATTGCAGCTTAGCTTCATCTGCAAAATACACTGATTTCTAGTCAGTTTCATTGGTGGTAAGTTTTTTGGGGTGGCAGGTTTGACCGGTAGCCAGCACACAGAGTGTGCAGCAGAGGTCCACAGCCTCATGTCCAAACATTAATAATGAATAGCAATCACAGCACAGGCAGCTGATTGTGTTCTAACATCATTAAACAGCTCTCTGACATAACACCTTTCCCATGCGCCCACCACCATATTCATTCCACTTTTATGTCTGTGTGTTTGAGTGCGTTCCCAGTGAAGACAGGGAAGCCTTTACAGTGAGAAATATTCAGATTCATGTCTTTATCAGGCTCTAGCGCTGTCCTCCTAATCAGCCAGGTATGCAACTCTCTCTGACCGTCTCTGTCTGTGTGTCTCTGTCTCTCGTGGTCACGGTCATTTTTTCCTTCTTTCCCCCTACTGTGTTTCCCTTCTTCTATCTGCGATGAGGATAGATATCTAGGTCTCACTCCACTCCTTCATGGCATTTTATTATGTTCTAATCTCATCTTCCCCTTGAGATAGCCTCGCTTTATCTTGTCTTATAAATCGTTTATACCTCTCTCGTCTCTCCAACCATCCTTCAGTCACTCTCTGTCCTCGTAAACATCCTTCTGTTTTCAGTATATCTTGTCAACAATATTCAACCCACCCACCTCCCCTCCTTCTGGGTCTCTCTTTCTATCGAGTTCTTCCTCACCCTCCTTTTCTCTCTCGGTGCTGCTCTGGCGCTGGTGCAGTGTTGCCTTGCAGAGCTTGTGAGTGCTAGAAATCAGATCTAGTTATCTAACATAGACACAGACCCCCCCAAAAAAAACTAGGAGAGGTGTTCACTGGCCATTTCTCTGGGGCTTGAAGCGGTACTGTAGAACAAAATCCATTTTGGATTATATGTATGCATTCTGAGATCGCAACGGTGGTGGTTGTTTTTCGTGTCAGGGCACTTTTCTTTGGTGGATTTGGAGCCTGAATTTCCTTTTGTTGTGCTGTTGCTAATTGGTCCTCCAGAGGATTCGTTTGTATATGTTGGCAAGATGGATGACCAGGACTAAGTCACTGCACTCTGGAGGAGACGAAAACCAAAGTGAAAACTGTATTATGTGCTGTTTTCTTAGTTCTTTACATCTTGCTTCATTTGCAAGAGCATGCTTGATTGTGATATGTAATTATGAGCACTGGAGTTACCTGTGGGAGGTTTATCTTGGTGGTTTCTTGTCCGTCTCTTGTCCGTCTCACTCATTACTTCTTTTAGTCTTTTTATTTCTTGCTTGTCTCCTGTCTCGCCTCTCTCTCGCTTGCCTTACTTGGACTTGTTTTTGCTGCAGCGGTTCTCTTTACTGACAGATTCAGGACTGAGTTCCTTCATAGAAGCCAAATAGAGACCAAATATGGGAGCACGCGCACACACACACACACACACACACACAGTACCCAAACTGCATCTAGAGCACCATTTGTCTCCTTTTCAATGTTTTTCTTTTTGGAAATCGGCATCATGGTTACTGTCTGAATTTCATTAAGCAGTAACCTGTTAATTATTTTCCTGGTTCATTGATTATTTGTTTTGGCTATAAAATGTCAAAATAAATTGTGGAAAATGTCATTGTATCGTTGTCAAATGTCTTGGGGGGGTTTTCCCGCGAAAAGTCCAAAACCTAAAGATATTCAGGCTATCATTAAATGTGGAAAAACTTCACTTTTCAGAAGCTGGAACAAGTTAAATTTGGCCATTTTTGCTATAGAAAATATTTAAATGACTGTCAAACTAGTTCCTGATTCAGTTGATCATTTAAACAACTAAACACATGAACCACCTTGAAAATTTTGAGTAAAGCAGCACCTATTAAGTAATTTTTGTAATGTAAAATGCCTCTTTGTGTGCTTTATCTGTGGTTTTCAACATAACGTGCTAATCATCCCTGGGATATGTCCTTAAACCGCTTACAATGAAAAATGCTACCCAGCATATATTGTGCTAATGAGGAGGTGTCCTTGGAGAATAAACAGGGGGATGAAGGATGTATATGTGCTGCACTGTGGGGGATGATGGAATGGATTGGGGCCAAGCAGGAGAGAAGAGGATGCAGTTGCCTCCTTTGTGCTATATTTGGTCCACCAGAAGATGGCTGGTGTGGGAGAGCAAAGCATTGTGTTGGAGGCTCACGCATGAATGTGTTTATGAACACAGACCTGTATTTGCATAATGCACACCTGCGCATAAAGACTACAGAACAGAAAGCCAGATGAAAGTATAGACAGAAACAGTAGCAGTAACATGTCTTGGTAATCTTGGCTTAGCATGACTAGAAGATCTTAATGTAAGTCATGAAGGTATTAATTACAATACCTCAAAGTGAATCCTTATAATGTCTGCCTCTGACTCTCTCCTGACAGGGGTCGGCTGATTCGTACACCAGTAGACCGTCGGATTCAGACCTGTCAGCAGAGGAGGACCGCGAGGCGTATCGGCGTGAAGCCGAGCGCCAGGCACAACTGCAGCTCGACAGAGCTAAGGTACGCCATACCGTGATTTATACTACCACATACTGTATTTTTTTAAATAGTAGTTCAAGTGTGCAATAGATGAAATGTGGAAAATAGTTCCCCCAAATATTGGCTACCGACCACACACATTGTCAGATCCCACAAAAGCTGAAAGAAAACTCCTTCTCTGGACTGTTAAACTGACTCCAAAACGGTCTTGATGCACACTGAAATGTTTCCTGTTGGTGTTCATGTCAACCAGCAAACAGCAGTTGCACTTGCAAATGTTGTTCTGGATCCTCCGCACACCATACGCAAATGATCAGCCAGACGTGCCGATCAGTCGCATGTTTACACAAGTAAAACAGTGTTGCATTCGTTTAAATTCGTCAGTGTAACAGACTGGATGATGATCGAGTTTCACTTGCCTTTTGAAAACTGGTTGTGTAGTTGATTTGTCAATAACTGCATCTGTGTGAACTCTACTCTAAACCTTCTGTCTGTAAAGAATTATAAGCTTTGCCTTTAGTGCAAAGTGGGACAAATTGTTTTTGAGTCAAGCTCCAAGTCTAGACAAACAGGTCCCAAATCATGTCCAAGTCCTAAATTTTGTATTTTTAATCCTAAACAAGTCACCATGAAATTAGGAACAGCAGCAACAGGAGCTTAACTTTACTGTTAGCCACCTATCATTAGCTAACTTTGTTTATTGGTTTTAAAAGGTAACATTTAGGCACCAAATCTTGGATGCAAAGCTAAATACTGAACTCTTACTAGCTTTTACCTAACGTTAGCTTAAGCCATAGCTGGCCAAGGAACATTAACGCTAACCTTAATTTAACCTACCCGTGTAGCCTAAAATAACAAAGAAAGTTGGGTTGAGCGTTTCAGTTTTCAGCCTCATGGTTGGTTAGTTGGTGCCCACAGAAATATGCGTGTATCCGAATGTGATAATCGGACTCATCTGTTTGCTAGTCTGCACTGCCAAACACATCTTTCCCTCCTGCTCGTGCTACACAGTTGGCTGCTGTCAGATTGAATATATGAATCAAGTCATTCAAAGTCCAAGTGAAGGTGTTAAATTCAAATTTGAGTCTAAAGTCAGCAGATTTATGACTTGAGTTTTATGCTGTACCATGGCACTGCAGTTTCCCTCACAAGTGTTTTTTTGTCCTTATTTATTGTTGCTATAGTCCAAACCTGTAGCGTTTGCAGTAAAGACGAATGTGAGTTACTGTGGAGCTCTGGATGAGGACTGTCCCGTCCAAGGAGCTGCAGTCAATTTCGATGCCAAAGACTTCCTGCACATCAAAGAAGTGAGTGATTATCTGTCGCTAATGAAGATGACCCCCTCCATTACATTAAAACAAGACAGACATACATGACAGTTCTATTGTCGTATTGAACTTAACAGAAGTATAATAATGACTGGTGGATCGGTCGGCTAGTAAAAGAGGGAGCGGACATCACCTTCATCCCCAGCCCCCTACGCCTGGAGGCAATGAGACTCAAACAGGAGCAGAAACAAAGGTCAGTTATTAGTATCAAGCTTTTCAGAGGACTCATTTCCACAATATAAGTTTGATAATTTAGTGTCTCGCTTTGCAGGAAAACAGGGGGTAATTCCTCTAGTTTAGGCGACATGGTGACTGGGAGTTGGAGGACCACACCGCCATCTGCAGGGGAATGTAAGTATTACAAATATTTCTCTTAGGCTGGGAAAAAAGAAAACCTCCCTGATATCTTTTTTCTTTCATTAATTGTTATTTTCTTGTTTTCACAAGCCAAACAGAAGCAAAAACAGGTAGGTTTTAGCACTTTGTGATGTCACAGCATGTGCTCATAATATATCATTTTTGTTTTAAGGGACTTTATCAAACAATGCGCAGGTCCTTAAGTCTTTTAAAAGCTTTCAATTCAGTTCCTTCAAAAAATGACCTTGTAAGTTATTAAATTTTATTTTTATATTTTAAACACGCTATATGTATAACAAGATATTATACCTTTTATATTACTTATAAACTACAGTTGAGAACAGTGCGCCAGTGGATTGTGCGTATAGCAATTTTAGTAAAAACTTAAATATTAAATAAATGCATTATTTTTAATTGGTTAATCCAGCCATCAAATTTCTGCCACTCTGTTGGTTTTACATCATTCTTTGACTGTTATGCAACGTGAAATGGGTATTTTAAAAAAGGTCTTGAATTACATTTTACGAGGTATTAAAAAGTCCTCAATTTAATTCAATGAAACCCTCCACAGAAACCCTGATTGTGTGTTGTGTGTTGTGTTTTAGCCTTTCACAACATAACAAACTCAGCTTCCAACATCTCTTACCACTGCTCTCTCTGTTCTTCATCCCTCTCCCCTCGTTGTCCCCTATTTCTGCCAGGAACACATCCCTCCCTACGACGTGGTGCCCTCTATGAGGCCGGTGGTCCTCGTGGGACCATCGCTGAAGGGCTATGAGGTCAGCTTCTCCCTGTTTCACCTCCAGCAAACAGAGAACGACGCACTGCATTCATTTTCTCTGTTAAAACTCCTCCTGCACTACTGCATTTATTGTTTGAATCAGATTCAACTTCATGGGACGATAATATATTATCATAAAAGGTTTTTGTAGACGCTGCTTAAGGCCGAGAGGTTACACAATAACTTCATGGAATGCATACTATTTTCAGCATAAAATGGTAAAGGGTCTCTAATGAGTCTAAGTGAATGTACCATTTTAACATTTTAGGTGGACATCCAAAGTAAAGCAGATATTTTACTTCTGACACCTGCTCAACACATTGTCCTCAAATGTAACTTATGAACTTCTGATGAGGGCCAAGATCTGGAATAAAACAAAAAAAAAAGTTACCAGAAAGTGTGAAGCTACTTTTTCTTAATTTTGAATATTAAATGTAAGTTAAGTAACTCTTTTGAGTTAATTGAACTTGTTGGAGTAGTTGTAATAGTAGTCAAATATATTTTGGAGGACAAACCAATACTTCTACTACGTTACAATTGCATACATCTGATTTGTCACACTACATTTATTAATTTTTTTATACTCATGTAGTCTAAAATGAATGTGGAGATTTTATGATCACAATTATGATTTAAAATTTCATTACAGATTGACATATGTTCACTTCTTCACCTTGTTTTTTTACTAATGAATTTACTTACTACTCATATTTTTTTTAACAGATACTCTTACTTAAGTAACTTCTACTTGAGTACACTTTTTATCTACTTTACCCTCTTCTGTATACATGTTTATATTCAGTAATACAGTCTGCTTAGATTGACCTTTGACAGTAATGGATATTTCACTGTTAATGGGTGATGGTGATAGAATGTGGAAAGAAGCTGTTCTTATTCTGATTGATATGGTATCCTAACATTAAACCAAAGGAGGAGTTTTGTGTCTGTTTCTTTCCTCTTATCGTCCACCTAGGTGACGGATATGATGCAGAAAGCTCTTTTTGACTTCCTGAAACACAGATTTGAGGGAAGGTCAGTAAAACATTACAGAAACATCTTCTTTTAGTTGTGGGAAAGTCAGCACTTTTAATAAATCTGACCAAAAGTTTTCACTGCAATTGTTTTGTTTTTTTCCTAACTGCATTTGCGACTGTCCACAGAATCTCAATCACCCGTGTAACTGCCGACCTGTCTCTAGCCAAGAGATCTGTCCTCAACAAAAGACCCATAATGGAGAGATCCAACACTCGCTCCAGCTTAGGTGCTAATTTCAGCATGAATAGAGTCTTTTGGTATGAAGAAGCGAAGAGTTTAAAAGTATATAATCCAATGTGTCTTGTCTGTGCAGCGGAGGTTCAGAGTGAGATTGAGAGGATATTTGAGCTCGCCAAAACTCTGCAGTTAGTGATTCTGGACGCAGACACCATCAACCATCCCGCACAGCTAGCCAAAACCTCCCTCGCGCCCATTATTGTCTATGTGAAGGTTTCCTCGCCAAAGGTACTTAAGGTTACCTTACTCACGAACGTTTGATTCAGGCTGCGTCATCTACCTTGACCTTTATCTTTACCTTTCTCTCAGGTGCTCCAGAGGCTGGTCAAATCCAGGGGGAAGTCTCAGAGCAAGCACCTGAATGTGCAGATGATGGCTGCAGACAAACTCTCTCAGTGCCCCCCTGTGAGTAGAGGAGGAAGCGGTTGATATAATGTTAAGTTTGGTTGTTCCTAATCAATCTGTACAATATGCATATCTTTTATGAACAGGTCGCATTTATAAGGTGAAGAAGAGTGTGTATATATGTATGTGTATATGTGTATATGTGTGTGTGTGTGTGTGTGTGTATGTATGTATGTATGTATATATGATAGATAGATATAGATGACTTAGCTGGTCAGATGTATAACATTATGATCCTTTACAGACATGACAAGAAAATATTGCTTCTGTAGATACATATATTTAAAATTAACATGGTGTTTGCCAGTTGTACACCTATATAATGAAATTCAACTTTTTTTGGCACTTGTTTTTACAGTTCTGTCAGCTGCTGGAGGAAAAATTATGCCTTTCCACAGGAGCCAATATCTTTGATTTACTTCTGTTCACATGTAGGAGATGTTTGATGTCATTTTGGATGAGAACCAGCTGGAAGATGCTTGCGAGCATTTGGCTGAATACATGGAGGTCTACTGGCGTGCCACTCACCTCCCAGGCAACACTCCTCTCAACCCCTTATTGGAGCAGAGTCTGATGACCCCGCCTTCTGCCATTTCCAGCCTACAGGTAAGCTTGACCTGTAAAAGAATAGGAGAGCATGAAAATACTTTAAATACTGTTTTAAAGACTTGGAAGTAGGAAACCTGTTTTGAACATGTTGTATGTTGTCAATGTCTTTACCAGCTCTTCCCATCTCAGATACTCACTCCTTTGTTTTTATTTGATTGTCTCCAGTTGTCTTGTCTGTCCTCTCATCCATGCTTAACATTTTTGCAGTTTTCTGAAACACAGGAATTAATTGAATGATCGCTTACAAAATGGGGTGAGTAGTAGGGTTTATATATATATATACATACATATACTGTGTATATATATTTATATTTGCACTCTCGACCCCAACAATCCCTCCTTATGCACTTCCCGACTCTTGAACACGACACAGCGGCTGAGACGGTGAATGAACAGCATTTTATTCATTCAGATCTCGCCACAGATAAGATGACGTGTTTTTCTTCATTGCATCCTGCCTCCTTTCCTTTAGTTGATGCTCTCAGGTGAATCGCCTCTCCACAAGCTTTCTGGGAGAAAATTCACAAAGCAGTTTCAATTGAACACCACAACTGAGTACAGTAGTGTTTGAAAATGATAAAACGCTTGCATGAAATGTCAAAATCTGACCAATTGTTCTCTATTTTAAATCTGCGTTAATCCTTTTCCAAGCATGCTGTGTGGCACACAAAATGCTATCTTGCTAATAATGCTAATAAACAGCATATGATTGATGCTTAAATAATGTGTTCACCTGAACTAAATACATCATTTACACAACAAAGACCATAACATCAGTGCAGTAACATTGTATGTCCAAGAGTAACCTCCTAACCATCCATTCAGCTGTTTCACTGTCATTTCTTTTGATCACCGTCTGTTGTTTAATCAGAAAAAAAAAGTACTTTGAAGACACTTTACCAACACTGCTGCATGCCATTTATTAACATCCTCAAACCCCCTTTATATATTGTACAGTTTTGTCGTATTTCTGTTACTTTTGATTGTGATGGCTGCCCCTTACTCTACCTGCAGGTTGTGTTTAGAATAAACCGTTATGATTTCCCACAATGTTCCTTGTGACATTTTAGAAACTTTCTAAAACACAAGTTTAAAGGAACATTTCTTTGAGCTGTGCATTTGTGCTCAGATGATTTAACTTCTTTGTGACTTGTAGCTTTAAACACTGGAAATAGTGACTCAGCACTCATAAAAAGTTGAATATTAACTACCTCTGCAGATATGGACCAAATGTGTTTTCAATCAGCATGCCACCTATGGCTGAAATGATTAGCCGATTGATTATCAGAAAAATTATCAGTCCTTTTTTTAGCCATGCTGCTACTACAGATTGGTACAATCTTTCATACAAACATTCAAGGTCCCAAGAAGATCCTACTGACTTTGGTGCTCTTTAACTAGAGCACCACCATGATGTTGACATTTTTGTTTTTTAGTGAAACGCCTAAAACAACACCCACATGTTTATTTATTTAGTATATATAAAATGGGTCAAATATCCCAATAACCTATCATTAACTAGAACATGTAGTCATCATATTCATTTTTAAATTGCCTTCAAGTCGTGCCTTTTTTCCTTTTTTATTCAACAAAACCTCCGTGGGATAGCAGCTTTATACCAAGCTGTCCCCGCATGCTGAATCATAGCTCCCTTTAATTTTATTAGTGATATTGTTTTGAAACATTTATCAAGTGCTGATTTAAAGCTGAAAAATGCTGCTAACTGGCATCACAATTCTGTTTCAGTGTTTGTAATTAAAGAGTAAAGGATAGATTTTTATCCCACCCCCCCCCACACACGTCTCTCTTAAAACAATACTGACACGCCCACATTTACAGTTATTAACAGTAGTAGTTATTAACAGTTATTGGTCGCTGTGATTGTTCTTCCTGGTTGTGTACTGGCTGTAAAGAGATTCCAGTTTAGGAGACACAGTGATAATTATTTGTGTAAATATCCTACGGCAAGGAAGCACAGTCTATGGAAACCCCAAAAAGAGAAATTCTTACATAAAAGACTATAAGATACCCACTTTATTTTACTCATTAAGTTAGCTTCAGCACTGGTTTTATTCCTGTATCTCTAACATTGCAAACCCTTTAGCAAGGAATCTGTTTGTAGCCAGTGTGGACAGGGGGGGGAAATTGCAGCAACCAGTAACTTCTTTTCAAACTACATATGGGCAGGTGAGTGTTGTTTTGAGATAGATTTGAAACTTTTCCTTCAAATTCCCTCTTGGAATGGAGTGTTCACATTATTCTGTCCATCCTCTGTGTGTTTGCTGTCTGTGAAAACTTGCTGTGGCAGAAAAACTGTCTGTGTTTGTGTCGTTACTAGTGTGAAGTTACTTTTAGATGCTGTCCTGTTTTCAGCGCTGTCTTTTGAATCCTCCAGAACCAGAATAAGAACCAGCCGCAGCCTCGTGAGGAGGGGGGCTTGGAGGGCGACGAGGAGGAGGCAGGCGAGGAGGCCCACTCCCCTTTGGAGCAGGACAGTCTTATGCCGTCTGACGAGGCCAGCGACTCCCTGTCTCGCGGCCGGAGGGGGAGCCCGTGCCACAGGGGGGGTGAGGAGGACGAAGAGGAGGAGGAGGAAGAAGAAGATGAGGGGGAGGAGGATGATGAGTATGCCTCTCCCTGCCATGCTCGCACATACCGGGACATGTACCCCCCTCACCGTGGGCACACAGGCAGTGCCCACAGTGCCAACGGGCACGAGTCACAGGACAGGCTGCTCCAACGCGAAGCTCAGCAAGGTCACAACCAGAGGAACAACCGCCAGCGCAGCCGCCCCTGGCCCCGAGACACCTACTGAGGAACAAGGGCCCCTCCCCAGACATCAGCACCAAGATCACCCCAAGCCCTCCGACTGTCACACGTTCCCAAACAAACGATTTAGAGATGGAAAAAATTTCCCCCATAATCAGCTCCAAACTTAAATCACAAACAGACGCAAAGTTTATTAAGTAGAAAACTATAGGTCTATTTTTAAAGTATTTCCAGTTGCTCTCTTCCAGACTCCCAGTTTATCTAAACCGCGGGGGATGTAATGACCTCTCCAGATTCAGATAAAAGTCAACAGGGCTACTCACCTCTGCAATGGAAAGGTTTCAGGCTACCAGCTCTACGCAAACTCAAACTTTAGCTGCTTTGCCTAAGGTTTCTCTATTGTAGGATGTCTCATATACTGGCCTTAAAATTCCTAAGACTTTTAAACTCTCTTTACTATTGCATGTATGAGTATAATTATTTTAAGACTATTTGCACATCAACGTCAGAACAGGAAATGAATGATCTATACGGATAAACTAATGTAGGAATGTCTACTGTTGAATCCATTTATGGGAAATCGTAATGCATTTGATTCCAATGTATATACTGAATGGGCACCTGGTTTGTTTCATTGCTACTATATTTGTTTGATTCTGTTAATATGGACTTGTTTGTTGTTTCAGAGAAATGTTGCCACCCATGTGTTCAGTCAGTTTGTACTCTGAAGAAGGTGAACGGCACGTGGGAGACACACAGTAAAATAAGCTGGTACAAAGCTGCAGTACAGCGTCAGTGTCACCTACAGTTCAGTACAGTACAGTACGTTCTGGGCATCGCTTCTCTTTGCTGTTGCACAATCACTCTTAACACTTCTAAAAAAAAAAAATCTAAAAATGGGCACAGAGAATGTAAACACAACTAAGAAAGGTAATGTTGTCTTTTTAAAAGGGTAAATTATTTGCCAAACTGCTTGTTTACATTGAATCATTCACATATATCAAGCACATGCTGCAGAGCCGCAGCTCCTCCTCGAATCCAGGCTTCAGAGAATGTAAGCTTGCATGCCTTTTGCACCTCCAAAACACCACCCGGTGTCTCCACAACAACCGATCACCCTGTAATTCGATTGTAGCACGTTATTGATTGTAGCATCCAACTTATCTCCCCCCCCCCCCCCCTCCACTTTGTACGTCTTTGCCAAACATTGTTTGTGTACTGCAGGTTTAACAGTTGACTAGGTTTTTACCAAGGCAGATCCTCAGGTGTATGTCCTACACGCTCATCACGCTCGACTCCATGTAACGAATGTGTCGTGCTCCCGATGGACTCGTAGCACCCGTGACACGACGTCATTCTGTTCCTGCACCGTTACTAGTCCACGAGCAGATGAGTTTTGGACATGATTGCTGATGAGCAGCTGCCAGCTTTAGGTTTACTGCTTCCATGTGTCACAGGTATCTCTCTATCCAGTGTTCTGTATATTTTGAAAAGAGAAAAAAAATTAGCATGATTGAAGGAAAAAAAAAAAAAATCTATGCAAGTGTTGCATGAAAATCTGATTTTCTTTTTACAGTTAAGTATTTTAGTAATGCGTTAATTCTGATTCTCCTCGTTGTCTTGTAGTGATAGTCTTGTCTTTGGGGCTACTCACTCCTCACACCACTAACATCACTAAAATCAGTTTATTTATCCACAAAGCTTAATATTGGGGACATTTTTTCCCCACACACACAATTTATTGGCTGGACCCTGGTTGACACACTTTTAAAAGTCACTCACTAAAAAACTGTCCCAGCCCCAGATCAAGTCTTTTTTTGTGATAAATAAAAAAATGAATGAGTGAATTATTTCAGCCCTGCATGTCTTAGTTCACCAATTAGCTATGTTCATTATATTTTGGAGTATCTTTTTCAAAGCGGACCAATTTAGCAACTGATAAGCAGTTGAGGTTTTTCAATTTATTAAGCACAATTTTTACAAGGGTTATAATTTAGTTTCCTCTGTCTTATTCTGTATGCAATACTAAGCCTAACATTGAAAAACGTTAAAACGCCTTAGACCATCTGGACTTCCTCTTTTTGTGTGAGTAGAAAAAAAAAATAATAATTTGCACTACTTTTTTTTGGGATGGTTGCTTTGTAATGCAATAACTGCACTAAATATAACCATGTATCCACCAGATTACCACAGCGTGCTAGCGTGACCCAACACGCCTCTTCCCTCTATTTATCAAAAGAGACAGCAAATGTGTAAAAAGTGAGACATTTCCTGCCTGATGCTGTATAGAATGCTTTCTATTTGAAAAAAGATTTACAATACTAAATAAAAGATGACCTAAACAAAATAAACATGACATTTTATGTACTTTTAATTGTTCGTGTCCTTTTCTTGTGTTCTACTACAATACACTCAAACTTGCCATGAACTTTGGTACAGACATTCAGCGTCCCCAGAGCCTATAATGCTGACTTTTCCTGTAGCACCACGATGAGGTTGACATTTGTGGGTTTTTTTAATATCTCAACAGCTACTGCATGGGTTGACACAAAATTTGGTACAGATATGTACAGTATGTTCAACCTTCATGATTAATTTTAAGAACTTTCGTGATATTCAAGTTTAAAATTTAAATTTGAACAATACTTTGTTTAGTGACTAAACATTATACCTACTAACCATCAGCATGTTACTGTTATGTGAGAATGTTACCCTCAAAGCCACAAGCTTAGTGGTCGACCCTTAAAGTATTAAAATAGTTAATGTTATCTGTTCAAAATTGTACTCATCATTTTGGGTATCTCCTTCTCCACGTGTGAAAGCGCACTGCATTCACGTCCCCACACATAAGGGTTTCTGGGTTTTCCACTCAAAAACTCATCTAAAGTCATCTAACTAAAGGACTGTGCAAGTGTGGTTTGATTGACAATACTGTCAATGCAAAATACACAACTGTCATGACATTTGGATTTCTATGTGCAAGTGCCTGAATTTTGCTCTTTTGTACATATCTGAAGATCTTTTTCTCCATCCCAACATCTACTCATTGAAGACACCACTATCATTTCAGACTAAAAAGAAAAATGCTTCATGTTACAGATAAATTTGACAAATTTACTGTATTCACTTCATACAAATGTTTATATTTAAAATGATGAATTGCAATTTAGCCAGAGGATGCATCTGAAGCGAAAGAAACAGCCATCGTCTCTTTAACAGTCAGAAAACTATGATAACAGACAAATAATAAAATGCACTTACTACTCATCTATACTCATCCTGGCTGGTATTTATCACATTTGATATGAAGAGTAGCAATCAAACAGTGTATATCAGTTACATCATCTGGGTCCTGCTCACTGATCCTGGCTCTTGTTCACAGAAGCAAAACAAACTTCTACCACTGAGTCCTCATTTACACATTTTCAACTGAGTAAAAATATTCTAATTCACACACATCAATATGTCTTAGCCACATTTGAGCCAGACAATCCCCAAACCAGTGCTTGATGGTTCTGCACCAGTAAACAATGTGTTCTTTTCTACGAACAGACTGGCTGAAAAGACAAGCATGGGGAGGCAAGGTTGAAAAAGAACATAAGAAATTATCTGCAGACCAAATCCAACAGAAATGCATATTGTGTAGAGATACAACATGATACAACAGTTTAAAACACAGTTGTGTGTGTATGTGTGTTCAAATGGATAGAGTTCAGGGTAAATCAGGCAAAGATGGTCTCCTCTCGTCTCTTTTTGGTCAGGATGGTTCCAGGTTTGTGCTGAGCGTCCGGGTGGTTGGTCAGCTCTGGAGGGCAGGTGGACACCGGGCTCTCGAGGATGGCCTGCTTCAGGTCGTAGAACACCGCAGAGTCCTCTTTAGTGAGGAAAGTCATGGCCACACCACTCTTACCAGCACGACCCGTACGACCGATACGATGGATGTAGTCTGCATGGAGAGGAGGAAGAGGAGAAAACAAGACACTTCATTCGAGTGAAACAACACCAGGAGTCTAATTTTCACAAAATAAATATGTTGAAAGCGAAGAAAAACACACGTAATGAGGTTTCTTACCTTCAATGTTCTTAGCCATGTCGTAGTTAAGCACCATAGAGACGTCGTGGATATCGATACCTCGACCAGCAACATCTGTAGCCACCAAGATGTCTTTGGCTCCTGCCTTGAGATTGGACAGCGCAAACTCTCTCTGCTCCTGGCCTTTGCCACCGTGCAGCGTGCAAGCATTGTACTGTGTGAAGAAGAGACAACTGAGGTTAAATTTTGTTTTTATACTTAATATATTAAAAAAATCCAGTTCATTGACAGGCATTTAAAAGATTGTTCCCGAAGTGGCTGAGCTGCAACGATTAAGTCGATACCATTAGTTGTCAACTATTAAATATTTGGCCAACTACTTTGAGAATTGATTAATTGTTTTGAGTCAAGACAAAATGTCCTAATTCTCTGATTTCAGCTTCTCAAATGTGAATATTTTCTTTGGTCCTATATGACCCCATTTACATATAATGCATCTTGTATCCTGATAGTATCTTGATTTTAACCTGATTATACTTACACCTGGTAATAAGACGAGTCTCTCTTCTGTTATTTTAGTAGTTTATATTGAGTCTAACTAAAAAGGCAACGATACATTCAGTTCACCAAAACAAGCATGTTCAATGAACGGCACTCTCTCAGTGCTGTTAGGCACAACACTGCCTGTACGCACACTCAATTTCATTTTATTTGTGGAAGAGTGCGACGAGTTTGTATTTCCGCCCATGTGGTTGTCTGTGGATTGACAACGCAATTGCATTTACACTTGTGTTCAATGCAATCTCAAGCGTGGTTTGGCTGATCACAATTCGTCATTCTTAATGCATCTTACATTTACACCTCTACTTTCACGTGGTCAAGCACTATCCGATGCACTCAGATCACCAAAATCGCATTTTAATGCCAGGTGTAAAGGGGGCCTATGACAGTAAACTGAGTGTCTTTGTTTGGGCTTGTTGGGAAACAGTGATCAACATTTTTTACAATTTTCTGACAATTTATGGACCAAACAACAAATTGACTAATCGAGAAAAAAAGGTCGACAGATTAATAAATTAAAAATAAAATATAATAATATAAGATGATGAAAATAATATTTAGTTGCAGCCCTTGCCGCAAGATTCATTTCCATTTTTGATCAAATTTCACTATACAGGAGTCTACAGCCACACTGAGGGTTAACAAAGATGCAGCGGAGCTTTGAACTTCTAATGTGATTAGTTTGATATTTCAGTAAAGCCAGCCTGGCTAAAAACGTAGCAACATTTACATTAACTACACTTTATTACATTTCCATACTCATGAGAAACTGAAGAAATAAGCAATAAACCGTTATAAAAACACACACAGTTGAATATGCAGTTATCTCACAGCTAAGCTTCCTGACAATATCTCAAGGTGGTCGTGATTAGCTAATTTTTTTAATGATATATTTTTCATGAATAATAAACAAACTTAAACTTTGAGTGTTGCTTATTAAGTCATGAACATTTAATGTTCTAAAGAAAAATTTAAAGTTTTTAGTCGCTTTAAGAAGTTTTGAAACCACTGTTCTCATCTACAGTGACTTACCCCCATCTTCTCCAGAGACTTGGCCAGCACGTCACAACCCTTCTTCTGGTTGACAAAGATGATGATGGGAGGCTCAAAGCCATGCGACAACACCTCCAGCAGCTTCTTCCTGCACCACACATAATCCAAAGCTTCTCAGTGAGACACTCTGGCGGAAATAAACAGGATGTGTCTATGTTTACAGTTATATGTTGGTGTCTGTCTCACCTCTTCTCTCCCTCGGACATAAGCAAGACTTTCTGTTCCACTCTCTCATGAGGTTTGCCAGCAGACCCGATGTACACCACAGCAGGACGCCTCAAGTAGCTCCGGGCCAGTCTCTCCACAGCAGGAGGCATAGTAGCTGTGAACATGACCGTCTGAAAAGGCGCAAACAAAAATAAATAAACACAGTTTGAAACGCAAACAGTGAGAGCATCTGGCACCTACACAACAGTCTTGTTTATAAAATGTCTGCAGACATCTGACAGATAAACATACTTGTCTGTATTTATGTTTTCCAGATTCAAAGTTCATCATCATCTTCTCAGGGTCCTCTGCTTCCTCAGTGTCTGGCTTCTGATTGGTCACTGGGATGTACTCCAGAATCTTTTGGACGTCGGGCTCGAAGCCCATGTCAATCATACGATCGGCCTCATCCAGTACCACGTAGGTACAGCGGCCCAGGACCAGGTACCGGTTCTCCAACACGTCGATCAGACGACCAGGGGTGGCGATCACAATCTGTTAAGACAGGGAAAACGTACAGTCGGTGAATGTGTGTGTTTCGTGCACATAGCATCGTCACCTTATGAATGTACAGGCAGAGTGGGCTTCCTGCCAAGAGAGTACAGTGTTTGAAATAGAGGTGCTCCGATTAGGATTTTTTGGGCCGATCACCGATCGCTGAAAGCAGTATCGGCCGATCACTTGGTCTATTTGGAGCCTTTTATTTATCATGTAGCATTATACAGTATACTGTATATTTATTTAATTGGTCCTAAAAACAATGTATTAAGTGTTAAAGTTAACAGATGATAAAGTATCATGAAATGACAACTGTTTATTTTATTGCCAGGAAACATGGGCAACAAATTCCACTCAATCTGTGTAAGAGACTTAAACGATAGCAGCCTTTGCCTGGTTACTGTGAACATCTTATAGCTTAATAAATATAGCTTTACTGTGGAATAACTACAAAAACAGAAAAAAACAGCATCTTTATAAATTTACTACAACCATAAAAACTGCAACAAAAAAGGCTGTAGCCAAAATATTTAGGAGATGAAGGAGCACAGGCATCATGAGTCGATGATAAACTCTGAAGTAGCTGCTTTTTGTTCTGGAAAGCTCAGGCAGGTTCTGTGGGCTTTAGAGAGGGGAGAGACCTGCAGAGACAGGGAGAAGGGCTACAGAGAGGAGTCATAACTGCCTTCAGTGAGATTTGAAAATAAGGAAAATTTAAATAAATAAAAATAGGCTACAATGTAAATTCCATATTATACAGTCAGTTGTTATTACACAGGCAACTATATTAATTATAATTTCATATGGTTTGCCATTAGTAGGCTATAGGCTTTATATCATTTCAGTGGATTGTTTTCATTTTTAATCCTTGTGCAGGAAGCTCAGTCTACATATCTTACATGCTGCCACCGACTTTACCAGAGGGAGAGTAGCAAACAAGGTTTTTATTTGATTTCATAAAGGTTAAAAATACGGGATATTTACAGGGAAACATTTAACGGATGGATACCGGGTGAGAACGG